GTATGTAACGCCGCATCAAGGCAACCAACTTTCATGGTGCTCACTGTCCGCGTTTGAAGCAGAGCTGTAGTTTAGTGCGGTGAATATATGGTGTATGATGTGTCCGTGCACTGTTGGGTACCGTATTTCCCCGATTATAAGTCGCACTCGATTATAAGTCGCACCCCCATTTTCAGGTTTGAGCAATTTTGTTGCGATATATTCACTTCAGTAGTAAGTCATGCTCGATTGTAAGTCGCAACCCCTTTTTTTACCCTGAATTTTAGTGTAAAAAGGTGCGACTTACAATCGGGGAAATACGGTAACCGACGTGCCGGATTACCGACGTGCCGGATAACTGACCGCTGGCAGAGAAACGACTTTCAACTGTACAGTACACATTTCGTAAAACTTGTCAAGGCGTCCATCCTTATTGGGCGACCACCCTTATAAGGCAACTATCTGCATGTCCCAGAGAGCCACTGCAACTACACTAGGACCAAGGGATTGTATTTCCGAGCAGTCGAATGACCCGTTGGATAAGATGACTGCCTGTACACTACGACCGCACTGATAAGGTCCCTTTAAAAGCGGTCGCCTTAGACACATCTCACCGTTGAAAGAGCATGGCTGATACCAGAGCATTGCTTGGGGGAGGGGTTGTGACTCCATGGAAATCGGGCTAAGGCGGTGCACCCAAGTGTACGCGTCCATCTGCAATGACTACCGGTATGTGACTTCTGTGTTGCTCAATGCGTTGTGTAGCAGGCTGCCCCTACCACTGACACGGCATGGCAAAGCAAGGAGTTCCGCAACTGGCTCCCGCACCTGCAAGCAGCCCTCACCTACAACGCAATTCGCATGGCTTGCTTTGCAAAGGGCTTGATTTCCGATGGGCAGAAAAGGCTGCTCATGGCTACAGGAGACTCTGCTAAACACAACGAGCTCCTGTTGGACATTTTAAGTGGTGGCACAACAGAGTCCTTTCGCATTTTCTGTGACATCGTGCGTGAAAAAGAACCCGAGCCGAATTTCACCAGTTTCCTGAAAGAGATGCAGGCAATGCTAAATTCTGTTTGGGGTAAGCATAGGTACCTGTCTATTGTGTATAGCCATACGTATTTTAATCACTGCTAGAGGTTTTAGAATTCCCTCTCTCTTTCTCTCTCTCTCTGCTTGCAGTAATGTTCTCTGGTGATTTGAAGGAACTCAGTGTCCCTTGCGGCATAGCTGTGTGTGTGTGTGTGTGTGTGTGTGTGTGTGTGTGTGTGTGTGTGTGTGTGTGTGTGTGTGTGTGTGTGTGTGTGGCTATGTCTAACATAGCTGTTCGCTATCATCGCTTCCGCGATGGGCAGGTCTGAGGTGTGTGTGTGTGTGTGTGTGTGTGTGTGTGTGCGCGTGTGTGTGCGTGTGTATGTGTGTGTGTGCGTGCGCGCGTGCACCCGTGGATGTGTGTGCATGTGTGTGTGTGTGTGTGTGTGTGCGTGCGTGCACGTGTGTGTGTGTGTGTGTGTGTGTGTGTGTGTGTGTGTGTGCGCACGCGTGCATACTTGGCTTGGTCTCTTCGCGTGCTAGTAAGTTTGAGCGTGTACATTATACGCCCTTCTCATGCTTCTGCTGCTATCTCGCTGTGCAGTTACTCCCGAGTGCAGGAAAGCCTGCGAGGAAGTGACGGACCTGATGAAGGCATTTCCAATGGAGGCATGCAAGCAAGTACTCGACTTTGCTGAAAGCCTGGATAAGCAGCTGAAGTCGCACCCCGTACGCCTGCCAAACGCGACTTCTAGTTCGCATCACGAGCAGCATCCGGACGGAGGTACTGTAAACGCCTTGTATAATATGACGAAGTTGTTAAATACAAAACGTAATACAGAGATCCCTACATGATAATGCTATTGCTAGTGAGCGTTGAGAATGAGCGAGAATCGTTACCTGAGGTTCGCGTGAACCGGTCAGTTTTAGGAAATCCGTTATATTTGCAGCTCGTTAGAATAATGGCTTTTACAGTGTGTTAGGCGTGGCTGTCGGTCGTCGTGGTCACAGACCCATAGGACAGGTCTACCCTTGTTAAGGCCACACGTTTTTATTTCTATGTTTCTCGTCACCCGCGCCGCGCGCATACGAGCCAGGAGTCTGGAAGGAAAAAAAGAAGAAGAAAAACTGTGCTGCACTGACTGTGCATGTGGGGACCAGCACACTCATGCACATGTACATAATGTGGCCTGGCCTGCGCGACACATAATGCAAGGACGGCATTTTTTGTGCGCAATCTAGCTGCACATGCACAGATTGTGATAGAATCTCCTACCACATACTAATTGCTAACTATGGATGCTATTTTGCATGGTGTATTGGTGGATTTTAGTGTGAACAAAGGTCTAATAAACTTTTTTCATTTTTCGATCATTTTTTATTTTTTCCACCTCTCGCATACGTTTTTAGATTTTCAGGTGACGAGAAACATAGAAATAAAAACGTGTGGCCTAATAGACAAATCAGATGACTTCAACAATTGTGTCTTGTAACGAGTATGGCCTACTACGTGTATCAGGACGCGCATGCCTGTATACGACTATTAGCAAGAGTACATAACCCCCTAGCAAGAGTACATATCCCCCTAGCAAGAGTACATAACCCCCTAGCAAGAGTACATAACCCCCTAGCAAGAGTACATAACCCTCACCCCCAGAGTGTGCAACGCCTGATCCAGCTCTGCATAGGGTCTTGGTGGAGCGTAGTCGGATCTTCGGATGTCGTTCGTACGCTCCACACCAGCGCAAGGCCGGGCGCCGTTATTTTTGACCCGAGAATCCCCGCGACTCCCCCCCCCCCCCCCCCCCCGGGTTCCCCTCAGATGTGCACGGTATTATGACGCAAAGATCCGATTACGCCCGACCAAGACCCTATGCACAGCTGGATCATCAGGCGTTGAACACTCTGGGGGTGGGGGTTATGTACTCTTGCTATTAGGCACGATTCGTCAGGGGATTTTGGATGACTGTCTACTCATAAATTTTGTCTTGTACCCAGTGTGGTCATGTGACTAACAATGGTAGACATGTAGTGGGAGTGGGGATCTACATTGCATATACTGAATTGTAATATCAACCTCATCAGGCTTTTGTTAGAAAAGCAGCGTGGCAATCCCAATAGATGAGGTCTGAGCAGTGAGAGCGCAACACAGATACGTGTTGTGGACGTGCGGCTCTGTGTGTGTGTGTGCGTGTGGAGCCTGTGGCGAAGCCCCCCATCTGTGGTACTTGTACGCGCAGTTTTCGACAGCCATGAATGTAACGCTATTCGCGCTTACGCTGAGTCTGACATTCCCGGCCCGGTGGACAACACGCCTCCTCGTTTGCCCCTTTACGGGGCCACATAGCCAGTCATGGCAGTGGAAGAAGGAAGAAAGGTGTGCGTGGGTGTAGGCATGCATGATGGTATGAGTGTGTGTGTGGGGGGGGGGGGAGGGTGGGAGAGGAGATACATGTTTACATTGACATAATAGTACAGAAGAGCAGCTTGAGTGAATGCCTGTGTGTGTGTGTGTGAAGTGCTGATTGTTTTCGTTTGCTTTTGTACTATCTTCACAGCACTTCGGAAGTGGGTGGACTTCAAGGCCATCAGCATCCTTGAGCGGCGGGAGAGGCTGAAACGCATCTGTAATGTTGTGGCCGGGACCTCCCAATGTGTGTATGGTGTTGGACTGCACCTTTTGGCAGCGGAATTCCCGGCCGGCGGTCCGGACGCGGTGTGTTCTCTTTTGGGTTATGTCAGTGTGTTGATTTCAAGGGTTGATGAAACATATACAGTCATATCACTAAACACTCACATAACTTAGGTATTCGAACAGCAGCAACGCAGAAACAACTCCGGTCACATCAGCGTGTGAGGACCGTCACTAGCTGCTCTCCAGGTGTTGTGGTATCCGTAATCTGAGAAGCTCACTGGGGCTGTTGTATTTCATGATTGGCTGCCGCGAAGGCGGACAGTGCTGCAGTGTTGCAGTGAGTGGGCTGCACAAGATGCCGGTCGGATACGGGATGAGCCCGCTAACTGTGTGTAAGCGAGGCTGCAGAGGCGGAAGTGCTGGTGCGAGAGATCGCCGGTGGCTGTTTGACTGCATGAGCACAGGGCATGGTGTGGCCAAGCCACTGTAAGTCTACACATTTTCGGCGTGTATAAATTTCGGCCTCCCTGGGCTAAAACGCCTTTCGGCCACATTCAAATTTCGACCTGTACTGCTGCTGCTTGTACACACTGTCACACTGAACCTTGCAAGACAACATTTTCGGCCAAAAATGCCCGGGTTGAAAATAGCTGAACAAAAGACATGCGCCGAATATTAGTCGACTTCCAGTATGCAACGAAGGCAGTGTGCCGCGCACTGGCTCACACTGAGTAGCCACAGTTGCATGGTCTTGATTATGGGTGCTTTCTTACTCATCTCAAGTCGGGTTTTCATGTGTTACTAGAGAGGTGAAGATGCACGCTATTTCCGACGTAACACACAATTTCACGCCGAATTTGGCATAAAACTCCAAATTTCGATGTGAGCTGTGCAGGTCACTCGCGTTGTTTTTCGACGCGCGAGCCAAATAGCGTGAGTTGAACTTTCGCATCACGTCAGAAATAACGTGCATATTTAAAACCTCTCTATTGATTCTCGCAACCTGCAGGCAATCACTAACAAAGCCCATCCGGGGACAAGCCCGTTTGAGTTGTTCGACGCAGTGACAGAACTGTGGGGCATTCATTACGAGCACATGAGCGGCCAGGACCTGCATCAAGCTGTGAAGAGTGCGATTGGGAGTGGAACGGCGAAGGACGTCGAGGAATTCTGCATTCTCTGAAGTGAGTGATTATTCGCCAGCTGGTGCGTTTTGATTTGTTTCTACCAGGGCGGCTGGTGTGTCTTGAACTCCACTCCCCGGACCCCGAGCTAAACGATAATGATATTGCCAGAACAAGTGCTTTTACAGAAAGACGAAGACCATGATGAAGGCGAGCGACACATTGTTGCAAAATGCTGAATCATGGATTAGAGTGCTGCATGAAATAGCACACTGAACACTAGAATAATGTACAGTCACCTTTGCGAATAACGACACTCGGCGGGGCATCAGAAAAGTGTCCTTATTCGTGAAGTGTCCTTATACTGTAAAAGCCATATACCGTATTTTCCGGGGTATAAGCCGCACCGGGGTATAAGCCGCATCCCCCTTTTTGAGGCAAAATATTGACTAAAAGTTGGTATTCGGAGTATAAGCCGCACCCACAAACCAAGATTTTTCACACTCATTGACAAATGGCCTTTCTACAAATTTATTATGGTTATGGAGGTAAATACCATGTTAGATCAGATTATGAAGTGTTAGTGCACCACAGGTTGCTGCAGAGATGTTGGTGTATTGCTGTATTGACTACAGATCACTCCATGTCATCTGCACTACATGTATTCAGTCTCGCTGCCACTGATGTTGATCAGCAACACAGGCGCGAAGCTGAGTCGAATGACATGTCACATGACGTCAGCATGCATACTGATGTATGCTTAGCATTCATTCGCGCAAGCATATTCGGTGTATAAGCCGCAGGGGCGATTTTGGTTCGATTTTTAGCGAAAAAAAGTGCGGCTTATACCCCGGAAAATACGGTATATAACGAAGTGCTAACTCTAACGAGTTAACGAAGAGAAATTTGTCGTTAAAATAGAAATCGTTATACAGAAATCGATACATATACTGTCCTATCGAGCGTTGAGAATGAGTGAGAGTCATTACCTTTGGTACACGTAAACTAGTCAATTTTGGGAAATCGTTATATATGCGCCTCGTTAGAATAATGGCTTTTACAGTATCCGAAGTCCCATTTGAATGTATGTAAACCCGTAGTTTGTATAGAATGGCATGCATATCGAAATGAAGCTCTTTTCATGTTCTATGTCAATGTGTACTTTATTTTCACATTACAAATGAAAGGAATTACAAAGTCACTATGCAAGGGAGATAGATTGAAAAATTAGCCTTTTGGAGCCATGTACAGGGACATGTACAATACGCACATGTACATGTATGATGATTACTGTATATCGTGTACATATGCAACTACAGTTGCGCTCGGTGAAATCCGGCCCGAAGTGCAAAGCCGGCGCCGCGAAGCCAGCTCCCATTACATCACTGGCGATTTGTGTGTATGAACTCAACTGTACGCACCTCGTGTAAAAGTTCGGAGTGCACGTGTTGCATGCTAAAAGCAGTTCAAAATTTCTTTCATTCACTTCACGAAGTACAGCTCAAGATCAAGAAGAGATAGAGAAGAAGGACACGGCCATTCCCAATGTGTGGAGAGTGTGAAGAGAATAATTCCACATCGCTGCGAGAATGCTGACCAGCTGGTGCAGGCACTGCACCTGGAGTGGGACTCGTTGGCTCCTGACACGGTTTCCCCATACGTGGAGTCAATGCCACGTCGTGTTGAAGCCCTAATCGAAGCAGACGGTGGCCACACAAAATATTGCTGCTCTGTGTATGAAATAAACTGCTTCGAAACGATCTCCATCTTCTTTACTTGTGCTGAACTGAAATGAATGTTACGTCTTTGTTTGGCGCGGATTTTACACTTTGGTGTAAGCATGCATGCGTATGATCTGAGTACAGCACATGCACAGTTCATACGGCACACGTGCACACTAGCACTTGTACAACTTTGAGGGCGTCAAGGGCCGCATCAGTACTGGGCGCCAGTTATGCACTTCGGGCCGGATTTCACCGAGCGCAACTGTACATGACATTATAGCTGTGCTGATCACTCCAACTATTTTGAAGCAAAATAAAAATTAAAGCACCCCCCCCCCCCTTGGCTGCATCTTCTTGCATGTGTGCCTTTATCTTTCCCGATGGGTTCTGGTACTTCTGCATGACAGGTACTTGAAATAGCTGTCAAAAGCCCAGAAAGTCGTTATTCAAGCAGTGAATATGACCTCGGGGCACTAAAAGCATGCTGCTATTCGCGAATTGTTGTTATTCTGATAGTCGTTGTATCCGAAGTTAAATGTATACAGTAAGATGGGACTTTGCTCTGGGCATGGAAATTCTGTCCGTATTCGCGAATTGTCGTTATATCCGCAGTCGTTATTAGCGAATTGTCATTATATCCGCAGTCGTTATTAGCGAAGTTGACTGCACACAAAATGGGGAGGAGGGGGATAAAACAGCCATGCAACAGTAAAGTCCGTTTGTACATACGTACAGAACGTGCAAAGACACGCACAAGGAGAAAGCGTGCCACAAACAACACAACGTGCTAGCGGAACGAGAAGAGAGCACTTCAAGCATGGCGATACAAACGAAACGATGCCATGCAGGACCGGGAAGAGCAATGGCGTGCGAATATGATGATACGCGCGATGATGATGTCGCATTACGTCACTCCATGGCTAGGTTCTGCGAATAATACATCATCAGTTGATGAACATCGGCGAAGTCACGGACTCGCGCTACCGACTCGTACTGCATACATATTTGAAAAGCTGGTGACTCGCGGTTGTATACTTGTGTGACGTCCTGTCCATTTGAAAATCTCTCTAGCTGCGCAACAGTACATCAAAACACGCTCTGTGAGCAGTTTTAAGTTTAGGGGTGAAACGGTTACCCTGTAAGGTTGCAAACGGCTACGTGGCTTAACGGGCGGGTTATCGGGTACCCTTTAGCAGCCAATAGTAACAGTTACTATACAATAGCCTTCCGCAATTCGTGCCAGGAGGACATGCGATGTCATGCAATTCACAGCAAGTGCACTACATTGCAACAAGCGCAGCATGCACACGTACTGTGCTACATGCAAAACAGTCCAAATTGTCATATGTATCAGGATTGAACCCACAACAACACATTCAAACTGTATATCGAACTGTACGACTGTAGAATCCAGCTAATAAAACCGCACCGTACCGTCGTACACGACTAGCGGGTACTCGTTGGCTAACGGATCAGCCGTTAAACAGACGGGTACCCGAATCACCCCTTTCACCCCTCGTTTTAATACCCATCTACTCCCGTATACAAAGTTCATCTCTGTGATCTCACAGATCTGACCTGTTCTGGGCAAATTATGACGTCACTGATTTTAGTGAAACTTCCATCTGCTGTGACCATGCTAAATCCGAAACAGAAGCCCTGACCAACCCGAGACTGTCACCAGCGGTATCAGGGCATTTTTTAATGATAGTGTGAAGTCTTGATTGTAGGGTGAACTTCCCCTTTACTGTGTGTGTGTTTTTTGTCTTTTGGAATTTGATGTGTCATGTCCCTACCACCGCTTCAGGTGTTTGAAGTCGGCAATCACTCTGCTTGTGCTTCGAGTCATGCAGTCGTCGTCCTGCCAACGTTGGCACCCATTATCACTGTGCTGCAAGTTGTCCGGACGCGGAGGTGATCCTGCGTGGCCCACACTGCCAAGCACACTCATACAGTGTTACTCAATGAAATCCGGTTGCGTCACTCTAGTTTGCGCCTTGCATCATTTCGCAGCCCAGTGTTCGCAGGTCTGGGGCCGCGCAACGCCCGGCGTGTACCTGAGTGATGCGACTGGATTTCATTGAGCAACACTTTATAATATTATCTCCTGATTCTCCTCTTACTCTTAGAATAGCTTGAACTGTCCACCTCTCCACATTGCGCTCTTGATTTTGGCCCACATTCACAAACACCATACTCCATAGCGAGGAAGTTAGTTCCGTTCTTGGATAGATGCTCCCTATCCTCCAGACAGCTGTTTCGCTCATTGAGAGTTAGAATAGCACTAAATAATACTAGCCAGAAGGAAATAGATTCTGGCTAAACCTATTGAGATGTTGATGATGTATGGCGATGACTGTGCCACTTAGTATCATTATTTCTATTGCACTTGAATAGTTTGCAGGCAACCTGCCTACACTCAAGAGAGCACTGTATTTCACACAAATCCATTAGAAGTATCGTTTCAACGTTTCGGTCTTCATGACCATCATCAGGAATGAAGTGGACATGGAAAAAACATCTATTCAAGTGCAATGATGAAGCTGTGTGAAGCGTCCTTCAAAAATTTTGAAATTTTTATTTTCATTTAATAGTTCTATTGCTGTTCTAACTGGGATTTACTGGGTGTTAGCGGCCGTCAGGAGTTCCTTCCGGAAGGGGCGCGAAAAACTACTTTTACTTTTTAAACTTGATATCTACACGTCACATGTTTGTGTAATAATTATCTGCTCTTCTCTTCTTTTTCTGCACCTTGTTTTTCTTTGACATTGCATAACCGGCCCTGTGACATCAGGTACACGCTTGATAAAGAAATTTTTCAAATTCAGTTTGCCCTCATGCCACTATACACGTATGTGACACAGCCTATGTCATACATAATGTACATGCACGTAGCCCGCATGGGGCACAGGGGGGGGGGGGGGGGGCGGGGGCTTGTGCACCCCCCCCCCCCCCCAACAAAATTCGACTTATGTTCAGCATGCACGTAAATGACCATGAATGACATGCACCAGCCATCCTATGCATTTTATGTGGCTGTGCGCCCCCCCCCCCCCCCCTAAAAGGGAGACCAGATACGCCCCTGATGTACATGTACATGTATCATAATATGAATGGGGGGGGGGGGGGGAGCATAGCCCGAAGCGAAGCCCAACTCTCCCTCCACGCACTACTCACCCTGCAGCCTGGTGACCTCTGTTGTCTCAAAAGATGCTATGCTATAGCTACGCCTCCTTCAATCACATTATGTACAATCAGTGTAATGCAGCAACATTGGCATGCAGACACTTTGGCATTGCATGCTTTGACAGGAGAGAGACAGATGGCGGTAAATGCAGTCGACTCCACTTACTTATGAGCTCGCATAGTGATATAGCGAACCCTTGTCCATGTCCTTGTTTGAACCCATACAAAATCGACCCTTTATAGCTAGTACGAGCGAACAGTTTTCGTTTATAACGAACCAAATCTTGTAGTACTACTAGCACAAGTCATGTACTCACAGCACAATGTTACTTATTGTTAGGAGCCGGAGTCGAGTATATTATTAAATTTTATTATTTTTGTAACAACCGAGAGAGTGAGAATGAGAGATATCCATGCTGGGAGTCTAATGTCGCCATAGTGATTAGCAGCACCGGCCCGGCGCGCGGTCGGCTTGAACGAGTTACCAGGTACGTGTCATGATTGATGATGTCGCACAAGCCAGGCCAGGATCAGGAGTCGCGAAAGCCCTGGCCTAGGCTTCAGTTCAACTACCGGTAACTAACCCGTACTTAAATTAAATAAATTACTGTCTTTACTTCACAAGTTAGTTCAGGCACTAGAACTATAAGTATAATATGTACTGTACTAGTAGTAGTAGTACTAGTAGAACTTGTAGAAGCAGGAGTCGTTTGCAAGCTAGCTAGCTTCATTGAAACATCAATCACTGAACGAACAGTTTTAGTCGACAGCTTCCACGGCTTCTTTCCAGGGTCCAGTTCCTCTCTAGAGCTACGCTGTGGCTCCAGGGCCTCGGCAAACAGCCAACTTCTTCGCCCAAGCTTATTGCAGTAAGAAAGGCTAGGAAGTAGTTTGTAAGGAGGTGCAGTGTGTACCCGCCAGAAGTGGGGAAGCAAGGCGAAGCAACTGATTTCGGTAATCTGATAGATCACCACTTGCTGTAAGTACAAGACAATGTCACTGCCAATGGCTTCGTTGTCCATCTCGGGCAAAGCTGTTCATGGCAGGCCGCCGGGCCGCACTGCAGGCGGGCTGGGCAAGCCATTGCCGTCGACGAAAGGAAGGGCGCTCGCTAGCACCTCAAAGCAGCCAAGCAGCGGCGTGTCCACGTCCGTAGGGACTCCTAGCTGCAGCAGCGACGCCAGCAGCAGTTCTGCTCAGTCCACATCGGCCGGTGTGGGTCGAGCACCGCAGGCCGGCGAGCCTCAGGCGTCTTGCTCTGCTTCGGCGACAGCATCGACCAGCTCAGCAACAGCGCGGTCCAGTTCGCATGACATCGGTATAGTGCGCCGACCCGGCATGGCCCCGGCGGCTGCCACAGCACCGAAACGACGAGCGGCGACTGTGACGGCACCACAGCCCAAGAGCATGAAACGAGGAAAAGTCTGGAACGAGGAAGTCGAAGACGGTAAGCGACCTCGGCTTGCACAACTCATTCCTCCCCGTCCCCCATTGAAGTAATTGACTTGCATGCGATTGAGGAGGATACAGTTCTTGTATGCCAGGAAAGGAGATTGAAGGAGGTCACGAGGACGAAATGAATCTACCGTTGGGTGCTGCACCCAGTGCCCGCAGTGTCGCCAGGGCGCGGTCTAGTACTTAGTAGTAGTCCTGGGAAACAGTTGCTCCGCTGCACCCATGGTTTCCTACTTACACTTACCGTACATTCAGAAAATGATATCCTAGCTTTTGGCCATTAATGGGTCAAATTTTGAGTTTTGTCCCAATTTTTTTGGCAACCCCCATGGAATGCTCTTCATTGTGTTTTTGAAGTCTATTTCTCCGAAGAGCAAGCCATAACGAGAATAGGATTTCAGCCTGGTTTTGCCCCCAAAGCACTGAATTGAGGAAAAACCATGAAAATCCAGGCTGTTCACTGCACGTGCATAACAGTACATTTGCGGGTCAAACCACAGTTGAGGCACCTTTTTGGACCCTTTTTTCAAGTTTCGAATCTCGCGGCCCGGCACTGTACAGTGTACCATAAAATCACGAAAAATCACCAAACACGGGAGCTCTCCAGAGCCGGCGCTCGTCTTTTTCTGAATGGACTGTGGACCGCGCAGTACATCTAACATGGAGAGAGTGGGCAAGACTAAAACATTATTCGGATTGGGGAACTGCATACACTGGTGCCAGAGAAACTCCAGCACATCCGCAAAGGAACTGGAATTATACTTCAATACCGGGAAGAATGCCGGGACCTGCTCTACTTCATCGTCATCTCTCACAGCAGATTATGTTGGAAATTCTCCCAGTACACTAGCATCCATCTTCAAGTCATGAGAAATGAGAAACCAGAAACAAAACAAAAGGTTTGAGTGAGGGTCGTACTGTATCAATTTTATATATTACAACATCTCAAGATGCAATGAAAACTGCGGCCAATGTGAAGAAAGTGGGTGATAGCCAGCCATGGCGATAAAGATGAGTAAGGGTTACAAGGGAAAACGAAAGATCTAAAAATCAGTATTTCGGCCCTGAAACGCCCTTTGGCACAATTGGATCTGATCAGGATCACTCAGCGCATTCAGGAACCCATTCAAGAATAGGCCCAAGAGTCGATTCGAGAATAGACCGAACAGGGTGACTTGAACCCGGTACCCTCCGTTTATCTACTATGATCTTAGACCACCCCACTATGCCTGTCTACGCATAGAATTATCTACAATGTACACGATGTTTTGTGACCTGTCCATTTTCCCTGTAGCATACCGGTTTCAGCTGGCTGGCTTTCGCGATGCCACCGAGTATGAGCATTTTCACAGTGGAGATCTGGTAAGAGGTTTCGCTGATATGGTGCTTTGAACTTCACATAATAGTCAACATCAGCAACATCAACAATAACAATTGCCGATGGTGCCATCGTGAGAATAAAGAATTCAAACAAACAATATCTCTTATTGGCCATTGGCCATCGCGAGAATAGAGATTTGAAAAACAACAACATACGTAAGAAAGTCCATTGCTAACCACAACGAAGCTCGTACTTTTCCGCCAACTTTACTTGACACTTGACCCCAAGTCCAAGTCAAGTGGGCGGAAAAGCGAGCGCTCCAGTGTGGGGAGCAGCCAACTTTCCTATGAAAATCAACACAATTAAATAATCATGGAAGTGGCTACCACATCGTATTCACAGAAAAAGTATTATGCGGAGTATAAACCTCACCCGGATTTTTTGTTACGATGTGCACACATCTACCATGGTTATCACTATCAATTTGAACTGATTATGTCCACAAAGAAAGATATAGGGCTTGAACGTGCTACTTCGAAGTACATGGCAACCAGGCTGTTGTCATGAGAACACTGACTTATGAATCCAATCAGTCGGATCTAGTTTTGGCTCGTGGCACGGACAACAGCAGGGCCGGCGGAACCGCTCCGGTCGGTCTGGCCATGGCCGGACCAACTTTTCGGCAGCCGCCGATTTTTTTAGGACGCAGTAACGTCATGTTGTGATCATCGATTGTACATACGTACGCGTACTTGCGATCTCACTCTGATCTTGCGTACTTGCAATCTCGCTCTGATCTTGCCGTGCACGCGTGCGCGCTTGAGGGCTAGCTGTGGCCTGTGGGCCTGTGGCTGGAGTCGCGTGACCTGAAAGCACGTGCCATGATGCATTCTACATTGTAATTTGTAGTACTTGAGG